TGCAACATTCCATATCGATCTGATATCAGAACAAGATCATTCTAAGATATTGCCTGATATCAGGAATCGATTGTCATATTGATATCGGAACGACATCAGTGATCAAGTCTCCAGCACGTCATTTACATGATTTAAAAACGACATCAGTTTGCGATATCTATATGATATCGTAACGACATCAGACTATGATGTCGTTGACATATCACGAGATATGACATGAATAGGATATGGTCCAAGTTGAAACTGAACCGCAATATTCAATTAGTGCAAGTTGGAGTGTAGCGGCGTGGACATCAAGTTCTGTTAAAAAGGTAATTTTTTAAGTAGAATTTGTTTACAATAAAAATGAGAAAAAGTATAGTAGGTAAAAAGAGATTACAACAACTTGCAAAAAAAGAAACTAACGAAATATCTGTTGGTATAACTTATCAATCAAGTAGTCAGTTACACGAACCAGATCAGTTAATAAATAGTTTGTCCGAGGAGGGAATTGATAATCACGAGGAAAGTTATATTAATTCCACAAGTTCTAGTGACAATTCCATCCAATTTTCAGATTGTGATGATGAAAGTGATTATAAAAATTGTGAAAAAGTGACCTCATCCTCTACTGAAACCCTAGAAAGCATAAAATCTTGGGCCTTTGACTACTCAATTAATCACAGTCAGTTAACTGGACTTCTAAAAATCCTAGGTACCCATGATTGTTTTAAAACCTTTCCGTCAGACAGCAGAACTCTTATCAAGCCCGTGAAGTTTAACGCCCCTACAGAAACAGTTGTCCCTGGAGAATATGTGCATTTTGGATTGAAGACATATACTCAGCAGGTCACAAAGCTACACCCGACATTAAATTCAATCCCCCTTCAAATCAATATTGATGGTCTTCAAGTTTTCAAAAGCTGTTCATTATCATTTTGGCCAATACTGGGATATTTTGGTGGATTAAATTTCAATCCATTTGTGATTGGAGTTTATAGTGGAAATAAGAAACCAGAGAATGTCAACTTATACCTTCAAAAATTAGTTGCGGATGTCAATGCAGAACAAATTACAACAAAAGACAAATTTAAAATACAGTGTTTTGTTTGCGACGCGCCGGCAAAGTCGTTTGTGAAGGCAATTAAAGGGCATAATGGCTACCATGGTTGTGATAAGTGCTGCGCGGTTGGAAGGAGTATAAATCGGCGTATGAGTTTTTTCGAAATTAACAAAGAACTGAGAACTGATTTACAATTTCGCCAACAAAATGACGAAGACCATCATATTGGAACAACGGAATTGACGAAGATAGATGGATTGCACATGATTAATTCATTCCCTATCGACTACATGCACTTAGTCTGTTTAGGGGTAGTCAAAAAACTTTTGAAACTGTGGATAAAGGGTAAACCAAAGCATCAAAAATTGTCAGCTTTCCAGATATCTCAAATTTCAGCAAGATTAAAAGTATTCAAAAAATTTACTTCATCTGAATTTTCCCGTCAACCACGATCATTAGAAGAAGTTGACAAATGGAAGGCAACGGAACTGAGATACTTTTTACTTTATTGTGGCCCTGTGGTATTGAAAAATATTATAACTGACGAAAATTACAATTTATTTTTAAGTTTATCCATTGCGATTAGAATATTGTGTTCTGAAACATTACATATTTCCCTTAACAATTATGCAAAGTCATTACTAATTTACTTTGTCCAAGCCTTCAAAATCCTATATGGAGAAGAACAGGTGTCTTACAACATTCACGGTCTCATTCATTTAGCGGAAGACGTGAAAAATTTTGGTGTGTTGGACAGATTTAGCACATTCAAATTTGAAAATGAACTTGGACAGTTAAGAAAATTAGTTAGGACGCCCAATTTGCCACTGGAGCAACTGAAACAAAGATTATTGGAGAGGGAACTAAAATTGGAGGCGCGAAACATTCAAATAAACGGGCCATCCTCACAGCACAACAATGGACCACATCTAGAAGAATCTATTGGAAATTTTACTCAGTATCACGTATTAATTACACCGAATTATACAATTAACTGTAGGCTTCGCCGCGATACTTTCGTGTTAATACGTGAATGCGCAGTGCTTCGGATTCTTAACATTCTTCAAGACAATGATACCAGTGAGATTTATTTAGTTGGACATAAGTACAGTAAATTGGACTCGTTATTTTCCCAGCCGTGTTCGTCAAAAGTGCTTCAGATTTATAGAGCTGACGAAAATCATTATAAACTCTGTCAAATTCGTGCTTCCGAGGTTGTATATAAATGCCAAGTATTTCCTATCTCTGCAGGAGTTATCGCCGTCTTTCCACTAGTTCACCAGCTTTAAGATGTTCTACATTGTTGAAATGAAGGAGGACGAAAAGAAATGGGTTGCAGTGGTGCCACAATCATATTTCGACAACCAGACGTGTGCATGGCCAAATTCAAAAAATGCAGCAGTAGTCGTAAAATCCGGCCGCCCCCCAAAATCATCCTTTCCCCGATATGCCGCTAGGATTCTTCATGCATATGGTGTGATATTTTATGATTTAGTTAATTGCGTTGGTATTGTTCTTTGTTCTTAGTTATTTTGTTATTATTTCAGCCACATACGAGGAGGCCCGGAAGAAAATTGTGCAAGCCGAGTTGACTTCAGATTTATCTAGTACCGAGGCGGATGATTTACCTCACAAAAGGACTAGAAAACCGCAACGATTCACATCTCCTGGAAGCGATAATGACGTAGAGGACTCAGATGACGACAACGTTTTACACGATTTAAGAGGTCAGAAACGTAAATAAAAGTCTGTTTTATCGCTTCTCTTATCTCCTTCTTAATATTTCATTAATTTTATTTTTCTCAACAGCTTCCGCACATTCGAAAATAACCACTGAGGTCGTCAAAACTCACCTTCCGGAAATGCCTAGTCTTGCACTAGTTGGACATTGTACCGATGATAAAACATCGGATTCATTAGAAAACGCGGACGTCGTACTTGAGAATGCAGATGGTGCTATTCTAGCAAATTCGTCATCATCACAAATTGTGATGACGAATTTGGACGTGGGTAAGTAAAAAATTATACAATGCATTTATCATTTATCTTCTCCCATTTACTTTATCCTTAGTTCCTTTTGTTGTATTAAAATATTATTAATTAAAAATAGGTGAACTAAACATGGATCAGCTCAACTGCGCTTCTGGGTCAAGTAGTCAAAATCCTTCGAACGTTGTTGGAAAACTAAACGTTTTGTGCGCCGAAGGTTCTGAAATTTTACGGCAGAACATGGAGTGGACAGTAGCTGAAGCCTCACAGCCATTATTTGTGACCAATATTCCAAAAGGTAACATTTTTTGGTGGACGTAACACTTTTTATTTCCATAAACATTGTAACTTTTATGATTTTATTAAATTTAGCTGAGTGGAGCAAACTTCTTACGGACGTGGCATTAATTAAACTTAACTTGGATAATATAAATAAGAGGCTCACAAATTTTTGCAAGGAGGATTTAAAATCCAAGGAACCGCCAATAATTGAAAAACCATTTGACAATTTAGCTGAGTTTCTCGCATTTGACGAGTCACTTATGCACAATGAAGGAAGACAACTAAGACTTGTAAGATGGCTTGTTTATATATAAATATGAACTATTTTTTGAGAGAATTATTTAAATATTAATCATGTATTTTTTACAGAAGCGTCACATTTCTCGTGGAGGTAGCTCAAAAGTCCCGGAAGTCGTTGGCGACATCCTAAAGAAGCTATTTACTAACTTTTTAGCTCTTGGGATTAGCTTTAAAGGGTTAAAGCAAAATTACAATTTTTCATCAACAACGTGCTGGACTGTCATGTCAGGTACCGTATGCATAATATTATAGTATATAGTAATTGCAATCAGTATAAATATGTACTGATTGTAAATGTCTCATTCCATAGATTACATAGGTGAAGCCAAACCGGAAATTTCAGAGAAAGAATTGGCTAAAGCTGTAATTTCCTGGTTCCAGCACGCAGGTGACCGACTGAAGGCTGAGCAAACTACTAAAAAATCCAATACTAAATAATTTTTTAGCTTAAAATCATTAATGCGTGTACTGTTTGTAGAATGTTAAGTAAATAAATAAATTTTGAAGAAAATAATACCATGTCAGTGTATGTCATTTTTGTGCCAACGCATGACATCCATCAGACATCAATACGATATCTAAACAATATCAGCGGTTAGACTTAGTCTGACATCGTGGCGATGTCGGAGTGAACATCTTTATGATATCAAAAGTTGGGAAATAGCGATCCAATCTAGACATACACTGATGTAGTTCTGACGCTCACTGATGTCGTGTGGATATGTTCATATCCAAGTTTTTGTATCATTTTGATATCATATTGATATCAGTAAGTTGCATGGGTTACCATTTTTCGTGAACAAATCTTATCGTCGTCGCTTAACTAAAATAAAATCATATTAAGACAAGAGGGGGTTATGAGCCTGTAAAAATTTTGCAAATTACACGCTTTATAAAATTTTCGAAATTGAGGTGCAAAATCTGAAAACAATATTTGGAAGAGGCTTCTCCATCATCGTTTTTGCCAAAAATCATATTCCCATTTAACTCATAAAAACACAAATCAGTTCGAGATTAGAATTTTGTTGAGCATGTAATTTTTTTTTGTAAATTACATCATTATAAATTACACATTTTATATAGAATTTTCAAAACTGGTACAAACCTGTAACCAAATCTGCACACCGAATTTATAAAAAATATTTATCCCATAAAAATCTTATCGTCGTTTAACTCTTGCAAAACAAAAATAAAAATCATTATTTTGAGATAAGAGCTGATTTTGTAAAAATGATTGTAAACTCGCACCATTATAAATTACAGATTTTTCATAATTTTCGAAATTGGGTTTCAAAATATGAAAACAATGTTTCTCAACATTTTCATGAAAATTTTAGTTCGTCAAATCAGAAAACACAAGACAAGAAAATCATTTTTGAGACGAGCGAGAAGCGGGTTGAGCTGGATTTTGCTGGAGCACACACTTGATTTTTTTTCAGGAATTGTAAAAACAATTAAAATTCCTTAAGTAAATCGACGACAAATTTCAAAATGATGTCGACGACCTTTCTTTTGAAACAATGTGTGCGTCGGTATTGTCTCGGTGCGCGACAAACTTTAGCCGTTCAGGATCGAATTCGTGATAAGAGGGAGCAGGCCAACCTGGGCGGTGGGGTCAAGAGGATAGAAACTCAGCATAAAAAGGTCATTTGCTCGAGCTTATCGACAAATTTAGGCTTATCGAAGTCGAAACTACTTTCAGTCTTTTCCGTTTAAAATAATGATAAGATTAATTTATCGTAACTGTATTTATTAGACCATTTTTCAACAAAATTTATAATTTGGTCCTTATTTTTTCAAAATTGTGATTTTATTTTGTTATTCAGGGAAAACTCACTGCTCGAGAACGCGCTCATGTTCTCTGCGACCCTGGAACGTTTACAGGTACTGGTAGTGCCAATTTAATTGATAATTCAATTAAATTAATTGCAAATTGCATTAATTTTCATTTCATTTTCAGAATTCGACATGTTCATGGAACACACTTGTGCAGATTTCAACATGGAGAAAGAAAAGGTTCGAGATTCGTGTTCGTGAAATTTTCCTAGATAATTTTAGAACTGACAAAATTCCTCTCTTTTTCTATTTTAGTATCCGGGCGATTCCGTCGTGACGGGGAAAGGGCTCATCAACGGCAAGCTGACCTACATCTTTAGCCAAGATTTCACCGTTTTTGGTGGCAGTTTGAGTAGCGTGCATGCCAAAAAAGTCTGCAAGGTGGGTGGTTCTTTGACTCATCATCCTCGATAAGATAAGAGTACAAATATTTAATTTTTATTTAATAACGTGCAATGATAAGGTAACGATTTTGATGTCAAAAGTCCCGTAATTTTTAGTAGATAAATATTCCGTCCTGATAATATTGGTAGAGTGAAACTTCGCCAGTTTTTGCAATCCAAAATTATTTAATAATTTCGTGAAATTTAACTTTTTACCATTTATTTGTGTTTACCAAATCCAAAGGTCAATAATTCCTCAAATTATTTTGGACTAATATTTGCTAACAGTTAGTTTGACATGTACTTCAATTTCGCAAAAGTAATTGCATTTTCTGCGATAAAAATATTTCAAAGCTTTCCAGAATTTCAAAAAATACAACTTAGCAAACACGACATTAGTCAATGTAATTATTTTAATTTCATATTTAGATAACTTGTTAGTTAATCATCCCGAATTTTAATAAGAAATAGTAAAAATTTCTTTTTTGTAGATAATGGACCAAGCCATGCTCGTCGGTGCCCCCGTAATCGGCCTGAACGACTCTGGCGGTGCTCGAATTCAAGAAGGTGTCGAATCTTTGGCCGGATATGCCGACATTTTCCAGCGAAACGTCGAAGCTTCCGGGGTCGTTCCGCAAATCTCTTTGATCATGGGGCCCTGCGCGGGCGGAGCAGTTTACTCCCCAGCCCTCACCGATTTCACGTTCATGGTCAAAAACACATCGTACCTCTTCATCACGGGACCCGACGTGGTCAAGTCGGTCACCAACGAGGACGTCACCCAGGAACAGTTGGGCGGCTCGAAGACGCACACGACCCTGTCCGGCGTGGCGCATAAAGCGTTCGAAAATGATATCGATGCTCTACTCAATATACGGTAAAAGAATAGCAAAATTTTAATTTGATTATGCAAATTAATCAGCAATTAATTAACTAAATACATAATTAATACTAAACATAAATTCGATGACAAAATAATAGCGACATTAGTCGTTATTTAATTAACTAAGTAATTAATATGCTCTATACACAATAAGGATAGCAAAATTTGTTAATTATGCAAATTAATGAGTAATTAATTAATTACATAATTATTTATGATAACAAATTAATAGCGAAATTAGTTTTTAATTACCTGAAAAAATAATGAACATGTTCAACTCAACATACCGTCACAATTTGGTAATTATGCTAATTAATCCGTAATTAATTAGCTAAATCATTAATACTAAATATAAGACAACAAAATAATAGCGAAATTAGTCTGTAATTATTAGTAAATAAGTAGCACTCATCAGTAAGAACAGCAAAATTGGTTAATTATGCAAATTAATAAGTAATTAATTAATGAAATAATTAATGCTCAACACACCGTAGCAAAATAATAGTAGGATTAGTTCAGTAATTAACTAAATTACTAATGCTCAACATACTCAATTAGTTAATTATGTAAATTAATAATTAATCAAATTCTAAATCCTCAGAGACCTGATGTCCTTCCTCCCCTCGTCTAACCGCGAAGGCGCCCCCATCATTGAAGCCGTCGACCCTTGGGACCGCGACGTTCCCGTTCTCGATGGCGTCGTCCCACTCGAATCGACACAAGCTTACGACATGGGCGACGTCATTCTCGGTGTGGTCGATGATCGCGAATTTTTCGAAATTATGCCCGCTTACGCCAAAAATATTAAGATTGGGTTCGGCAGAATGAACGGAAGGACGGTCGGGATTGTCGGGAATCAGCCCAAAGTGGCGGCTGGTAATTAACTAACTAATTAACATAGGGCTTATCGTCAAAATTAGCACATTTTTTAAAATTTCTCCGCTCTGGGAACTTATTTTAAAATTCTGAACGACAAGTTTGCAGTCAGTGAGTTGATTAATGGAATGACGTTGAGTATTTCGGCCCAGTTTCGACGAGTTCCAATTTTTCTGGAGGCTTCTTGAACTCGAGATCTCCTCCTTCAAAAAGTGTCAAAATTTGGAGTGTATATTTTCAAAAAAAATTGGGAACGTCCACCTGCTCTACAAATTTGACGTCCAGAATTTTAAAATAAATTCCCAGAACCGAGAAATGATTAAAAATGTGCTGATTTTGATAATAAGTCATCGAGTCCTAAGTTAATTAAATAACTTATAATTAATTGGGGAATTAGATAACCAATTAATAATGTTTCTTTCAGGGTGCTTGGACATCAACGCTTCCGTCAAGGGGGCGAGATTCGTCCGTTTCTGCGATGCTTTTAACATCCCCATCATAACTTTTGTCGACGTACCGGGATTCTTGCCAGGAACGGCGCAAGAGTATGGAGGAATTATTCGACACGGTGCTAAACTTTTGTACGCCTTTGCGGAAGCGACTGTTCCAAAAATTACCATTATTACGAGAAAAGTGAGTGCATAACAATTTTAATGATAAATATACAAGTTAATACAGGATTCGCGTAATCGTAGATAAGCCTTTTAACATGTGTTTTTAGCATGCGAAATACTCTCGAGATTTTTTGTGCAAAAATCTTCCCAAAATTAAGACTATTTAGAACAAAGCTTTGTAATTCAAAAGTTATCGAAGGTTAAAGTTTGATTGAGAATCTCAATTTGAGATGGTGTAAAAAAAATTGGGATTTGGGAAATTTGACCTTTTAATGTAGGAATCGATCATCCCCAAAAGCGTCAAAATTAACATTTTAATCTATTTTGACATCCTTCCATCCTTTCATGTTGAAGTTTAAAATGATTTTTCAAACGGTTTTGAGGACTAGATTTCTTAAAAAACTACACAGTTTTATTTACACTCGACCAAGCTTTATACAAGACATTTTTTATGTACATTTTTTTGTACATTTTTAGTTATTTCTTGGCTCTATTTACGTTACCAATTAAAAAATATATATACACTCCAGATATTGACATTTTTCGGAGATTTCAAGGCAAAGAAGCCCCCAGAAAAATTGGAACTCGGCAAAACTGACTTAAACCCCTCTATTCCATTAATCAACTCACTGACTTCAAATTTGTGTCGTCCAGAATTTTAAAATAAATTCCCAGGGCTTAGAAATGATTAAAAAAGTGTTGATTTTGACGATTTTGGTAATGATCGGTCATCGAGTCCTACGTATAAGCAGACACACAGACTTAACGTTATTTCTGAAAAAATCCAAATTTTCTGATTGATTTTTGCCCCAAACATCTTCACGGACGGGCATACTATTTCGCAAACCGATAACACATGGCTTATCTACGATTATACGAATCCACCTTAACGTACTTATATTTTTTTCAGGCCTACGGTGGTGCTTACGACGTCATGTCATCCAAACATTTACGCGGCGATGTCAACTACGCCTGGCCAACTGCCGAAGTTGCCGTGATGGGTGCTAAAGGAGCCGTCTCGATTCTCTACAGGGGCCAAACCGATGTCAAAAAATACGAGGACGAATACGTCGACAAATTTGGGAACCCATTCCCCGCCGCGATTCGCGGCTATGTGGACGACATCATCGAGCCGAGAGCCACACGAAGGCGAATTTGTCAAGATTTGGATGCTCTAGCCAACAAAAAATTGACAAATCCGTGGAAAAAACATGGAAATATTCCACTCTAAAATATTAGGATAGAAGAAATTCATGACAAATTTTATTTTGGTTAGGAAATATTCCGTAGGAAAAACTGAATCTAAACAAATTTAGTCTATTTTACGCCCAGAGTTTATTTTATGATATTTAGAAAATAAATCAGATAATAACGAAAAATTCTTATCCGTATATTTTGTGGCGTAATTTGTGCGCATTTTATTCTTTCTTGTGTAATTTGGCTCTTCAAAATTTCATAAAATTTGAAAGCAACCAAACTTAATTGGTATTCACACAAAATTTTCCCAACTAGTACTACAAGAATTCATTCAGATTACATAAAATGTTGTTCTTTATATTACAAAAAAAGTCCGGTGTGACGCTCGTGCCAAGATAAGTACACCCAGATAATCACGACCGTGATCGTAGGGTGATGGGTTCCGAGCATAAGTAGACGTCGAGCTTACTGCCACCATTCCAAAGGCGAATACAAGGATTTGCGGACGTAAGCCACCCGCCATAAGCCACCCACCAAAAGCCACTCCGCATAGGAAAAAGCCACTCACCAAAAGCCACCTTCCATGAGCCACCGTAGGAAATAAGCCACTTCTAGAAAATGCTACTCTTATAATCATCATCTTTATTAATAAACGGGTTGGACTACGCTTAGTCCTTGTGTTTACCACACAAGCTGGAAATTTAATATTTAAATTCTGAGGGACTCGATAGAGTAACCTACGCAAATTTATGAAAGCTGTTGTACGCAGCTAAAATTTGGTATGACCTGAGACCTCGGAGCACCTAAATTGACGTAGATTTTCAAATATTTTCAACCTCAGCTATAACTTGGGATCCGAGTGTACAGTTTGAGAAATCTGGTATAAGTCACACCGATCATGAACAATCATCAGTTATTGATTTCTCGTTATTAAAATTATCCCCGTCCGTAAAAATTTGATAAGTCTATCAAATTTTATCAAATACCAATATATTACAACTTTAATACCGAGCTATTATTACTCCACGGTATTATCAGCTTACCATTAATACCACCTTAGTTGAGTCATATATGAATACCGCTTGGTATAATTTTAATACTGGATTTCTAAGATTGGTGTAGGGTATACATAAGTTGAAGATATTCAAGGAGAATAACCTCAGCAGAATTCAATATCAATTTAAAATTTTAAAGGTACCGAAAAGGATCGGAACGCTTATAACCCATTGCCAAAACCTTCTCACATTCCTAAAATTTGTAATGTTAAATAGCTGATTTTATATTTAACAATCTCAATAAGTCTCGATTTTTTTTAAATCCACGTTTTCTGTGACTGTTTGTAGTTTGTACCAATAATATATCACGAAATTATATTACGGTTCTAAAGTTGTTTGAACTAAGTTTATCAATGAAGATGATAAGAGTAGCATTTTCTAGAAGTGGCTTATTTCCTACGGTGGCTTATGGAAGGTGGCTTTGGTGAGTGGCTTATTTCCTAGAGTGCCTTATGGGGAGTGGCTTTTGGTGGGTGGCTGGCCTCCGTATACCAATACAAGAAACACCAGGAGTGGAGGGACAAAAAAGACGCACACCAACAAGGCCAAACCCCAGATAAATAATCAGCTTCCTGCTTCTTTGTCGATTTTGATCCATCCTCTCCGCCGCGGCTGGATGCCTCATCCCAGCGTATGGGCCACCAGCGTAGACGCCACCACTATAAGCGCACGCCACTTGTAACCACATATTGATGTTGCAAGGGTGGCAGGGTATGCTACCTGGGTTTTTGGGGTAGCAAATTAGCAAATATGAGCAATACCACTACCCACGGGTAGTCGGGGTTTTCAAATTTAATGGAGTATGATAAGTTATCATTGATAACAGGACATTACTACCAATTTAACAAATTTATTAGTTTTAACAAGCAGCTTTGTTGCGAAATTACGGAAAAAGCAGATTATTTTCACAACTTATACTAAAATTGAACAAGATATGTACTGTGCGGGTGGAGCTTAGCTCGTGAAAAACCCAGTGTTGCGCCTCACTTAACAGAGAACTGAGGCGCAATACTGCGTTTTCACGAGCTAAGCTCCACCCGCACAGTACATATCCTGTTCAATTTTAGTATAATTACCCCCACGCTTACCCATGGGTATTGCTCATGCATATTTGTTACCCCAAAACCCGGGTAAAACCCCTCTGGTTATGGGTTTTCAATACCAAAACCCCCTCGTTTTCCTTAGCTCGGGTTGGATATGCGGGAGTATAGGCGCTATTATACTGGCCTTGACCACTTCCTGCTTGTGTCATTTGTCGAAAGGGGGACGAGTGAGAGGTGAGCTTTTCGAACAGTGCAGAGAAAAGGGTTGACAATTGATTAGTATTTATTGAAAGTAAAAATGATCTCGCTGGAAGATATTTTTAGACTGATGGTGATTTTTATTAAACAACTTGGTTTTAAGGTTTTGACAGTACATAGGAGACATTCATACATATGTAATAATATGTGGTCAGAAGTGACCATACAAACTACGCAGAGTTATGCTCAAACGAAGTGTCCCTTCTAATGAGGCATAAAAACAAAAGGACCCTTTTAATCCCTTGTCCTGGGAAAAAGGTTGGAAAATGCTCAGCCCTCATAAAAGTCGACAAACTTAAAAATTCATAAATATGGAAAACTTTGTTAACATGCATATTTTAACATCCTCCCTCAATTTTTAAAGTTCAATATCGGCAGTTTCCACTGGATTTGCCCTAACCGAAATTACATTTGGCCGGCTTTTCAGAAAAAGGAAAACACAAAGAGTGGCTTGAGCAACTATTATTAGTATGCAAAGGGTTAAGATCCATTCCATTGTTGACCAGGCTGGTTCATTGCTTGTGTGGTAGTGGATTGACCCTTCTTCGTCAGTGGAACCATTGATCATCAGACTGGTCCAGTTGAAACTAGGCTGCAAGTGCCAGTTGGCTTTCATCGTGAATAGTGGGTCGACTACCTCTTGGTGAACAAGGCTGGATTCAGTTCCTGAAAATTCAATATCATTTGTTTTAAAATTAGCATTCATTGGAAGGATGAACACGCTAGCAGGGCATTGTTGCAGCTTCCTCTCAATGGTAATATTGGACCCAGGGCAGTAGATATGATATTGTCCATGGTGTAGTTTGATTTGTACAAAATCCCATGGTTCAGCAAGGTTCTTGTCATAACAGTGGTCTATGTCAAAGTGATTGGAGTTCTTTGTTTTCGCTGTTGGCGTGCATCCTCGAGTGGGCGAAACAATTAGGTCGGGGGTTGTAGGCTCCTTAACATTGATGGAGTATACGCAGTCATCTTTCGTAGAAAGGATGGCATTATGGGGTCCCTTGTACTTTAGAACGCAGGTTTCATTCTTTCTTTCAACTTTGAGATCGAAGGAGTCTGCCTCGATGAGTTGCAAATCTTTGTTAATTTCAGTTGCTGTGAAGTCCACATACAGCTTGGTTCTGTCATCTGATATTTCGCACTTTTGAGATTGTGCGAAGCTGACTGGGCAAGCATCACCACAGGGTAACGTGAAATTAAAGAAATCCATTAGTGGTGCGTAAACTTTTCCTCGCCGCCACTGTCTTGTTGCTTCTCTAATTATTTCTCTACCTATCATGAGGCGACTGGTAAGGTAGGCAATTGCGAAATTGGTGTCAATGGATTTTCCCTTGAGTTCGTCGTGATCAAGCTGATGTAGCTGAAGCTGTTCTAGTGTAGCATTTAGGCTAACCTTAAGCTTCTCAATCTCTCTTTCCGATATTTCCACGCGACGTTCCAATTCATCCAGCATCTCTCTTTGTTCCGCTACTGTTCCTTGCAAAGCAGAGATTCTTCCAGTTTGAACAAACGAATTGATTGCTCCACCAACTGATAAGCCGGCTACAAGGACAGTCACACCAATTATTACTCCAACTGCAAGTAATGGGAGGACTCTCTTCACTCTTCGTCCAATCTCTCTGGTATGTCGCGAATTAATATGATCGGAGAATTTTCTTTTAGGGCACATTTTTTCTAGCTCATCCAGGAACATTTCGTCGTATATTTTGTTACATTTCTCGGTTGCATAGGCACTTAAATCCTTATGGAGTAGATCCTGTGTTAAAATTTCGCACGGGTTCATGAATTTGACGAGCAAGTGGACTTGGTTATATCCCGTTGTAACTGGGATTGGACTCTTTTTCCATAGTAAAGGGATCGCATTCTGATGTGTCACCCCACAAGTTTGCGTAATAAACATAAGAAGGATGGTGAGAAGGCTCATCAGTGAGAAGTTGGCTTGGAGGGGACCTCTCTTTACTTTAGTTGGGTTGTCCTTGCTCTCCTTTGTCTCATTTCTTTCCATACTGAGATCGTGTCTCATCTTGAAATGCTGGGTCTTCAGTAGTGGCTTAGTTAATCCATCTGCAATTTGTTCACTGGTATGTACATATTCAATTGCCAACTGTCCTGTACTAACTAGCTCTCTTGTGTAGTGGTACCGGACATCGATGTGCTTGGATCTTGAGTGCATCTCTGGATTTTTGACCAATTTTATTGCACTCTGGTTGTCAACATGAATTATTGTTGGGGACTCTTGTGGGAATCCTAATTCTTCTAGAAATCGTCGTAACCAAACGGCTTCACGCGCTCCAGAAGCGAGAGATATATATTCACTTTCCATTGATGACATTGAGACAATTGGCTTGACCATGAAATAACGCTGTCATTTAGCATGAAGACAAAACCTGTTGTAGATTTTCTATCCATCTTGTCGGAAGCATAATCTGCATCTGTATATCCCCTGAGAATCATATCCTCACACGGTTTGTATTTGATTCCGAGTTCCTCGGTGCCTTTTAAATAGCGGAGGACTTGCTTTGCAGCTTTCCAGTGAGTTTCGTCGTATGCGTGCATAAACTGAGACAGGCGGGACACTGCATATGAGATGTCAGGGCGTGTGCACTTGGCTAGGTAAATTAATGATCCAACGAGCTGTCGATACGGAAGGGTCTCGTTTATTGTTGCGGCTGGGACGAGTTCTCCTGCATGAGGTTGCATCGGCACATTCGTCGGGTTGCACTCCAGCATATTGTACTTTTCAAGCAGGTTACGGATGTAAAAAGGTTG